ATCCTCATCAGTACATCCTATACACAAGGCATAGAACATACATTAGAAACAACAAAATTGTTGTCTTCATTAGGGTTTATTATAAACAGGCAAAAAAGTCAAATTGAACCTGCAAAACAATGTCAATATTTAGGGTTCAATTTCAATACATCTGAATTAACATTATCGTTGACTGAAAAAAGGCAAGAAAAAATTCGGCTCATGGCACAGTCTATTTCAATCACGGATAGCTGTACTATAAGAGATTTCTCAAGGTTCATTGGAGTGCTTGTAGCAGCATGCCCGGCTATTAAATATGGCTGGCTACATCTAAAGATCTTTGAAAGATATAAATACTTAGCCTTACTAGAGAATAATAATAACTATGATAAGGAAATGTCTATCAAGGAACATATCCAGCCAGATTTAAGTTGGTGGATAAGTAACGTAACCTCGCATGCTGATATTAGCACCCCAAGATACTCCCTGGAAATTTTCTCTGACGCTTCGTCAACTGGCTGGGGAGCATCTTGTGGGAACACAAGATGTCATGGGTTCTGGTCCAGTACAGAATTAAAACAACATATAAATTATCTCGAACTAGCAGCAGCATTTAATGCACTCAAATGCTTCACCAAAAAACATTCTGACATGTATGTTTTGATGAGAATCGATAACAACACTGCAATCTCATATATCAACAGAATGGGGGGAGTGCAATATGAAAATCTGAACTATATAACTAGGGAAATTTGGAATTACTGTGAAAACAAAAATATGATGGTCTTCGCATCCTACATAAACACAAAATTAAATGTAGAGGCTGATGCCGAATCTAGATCAAAATCAGTAGAAACTGAATATGAACTGTCAAATGAAGTTTTTGAAATGATCTGCTCAATATTTGGTAAACCACATATAGATTTATTTGCAACAAAACTTAATGCAAAATGTTCGAATTATATATCCTGGAAACCAGATCCGAATTCAATTGCGGTGGACAGTTTCACAGTGGACTGGGAAAACCTACATTTCTATGCTTTCCCCCCATTCTCATTGATAAACAAAGTTCTGGCAAAAATAATTACGGATAAGGCCACTGGAATAGTTATAGTACCTAGATGGCCCACACAGGCTTGGTATCCAACATTTGTGAACCTACTCGTTTCCAAACCAATAATAATTGGACCAGATATTAATCTCATGCACTCTCCTTTCAGAACCCCACACCCTCTATGGGCGAGCATTTCCCTGGTGGCAGGGTTTTTGTCAGGGAATCCTTCCTCTACAGAGGATTCCCAGCCACAGGAATGGATGCTATGATTTCATCAGTGTCAGAAAGCACTCTGAAGCAATATGAAATATGTTACAAAAGATGGTGGACGTTCTGCAAGGAGGGCAATCTCAACCCATACTCATATAATCTTGATGGAATCATAGATTTCTTGAACCAGCATTATAATAAGGGAGCCTCTTATTCTAGTATAAATAGTTTCAAGTCTGCTTTGTCCCTGGTTTTATCACTTACTGACAAGGATGAAAAGCTCATTAAAAGGTATTTGAAAGGCATTTATAACAGCCGACCTCCGAAACCAAAATATTCAACCACATGGGACCCTCAACCTGTCCTCTTGAAAATAGAAAAAATGTCTCCCCTGGAATCATTATCCATGAAAGAACTTTCTCTGAAATTAGTAACCTTATTGGCCCTGATATCAGGACATAGGATGCAAACTTTTGCGAAAATTGAAATCTCTAACATCAAAGAATATGAAGATAGATTAGAAATATACATTCCTAACAAGGTCAAGACTAGTAATAGGAGAAGCACACATCAACCATTGTTGATACTACCTTTTTTCATAGACAAACCAGGACTGTGTTTGGCATCTACAATAAAAGAATACATTAAAAAGACAAGAGATCTAAGATCTGGAGGTGAAAATGAGCTCCTTCTAACATTTCAAAAACCAATACACCCTGCTTCAGCTCAGACAATAAGCCGCTGGGTAAAAACAATGCTAGAAGCTAGCGGCATTGACACAACGGTGTATAGTAGCCATAGCACTAGACACGCGTCTACGTCGGCAGCCTTCAGAGGAGGAGTTAGTCTGGAAGAGATTCGGAAAAGAGCCGGCTGGACCGAAAATTCGCAGACCTTCAACATTTTTTACAATAAACCTCTAGCAACAAGGAAAGACGCATTTGCTAAAGGAGTACTGAAAGGGTCAAATATAAACTGGAAGTCATAAGTAGTAGATATAGTACATGTTGATTCCTCAAGTTTTGTTCAAACTAGAATAGTTAGTTATAATAATGGTTGGCCAAGAATGGCTGGGTTTTTTGTTTCTTATAATTCACCTACTACCAAAATTGGTAGACAAAATGTTCACATTGTTCATAAGTGAAATTTTGTAGAAATAAAATACATTAGAGTAATAAAGTCTTGTTACAACTATATCGCTATACTTTGAACATCTACAGGTGTAATAATGAAGACAGAACCCGAAGTATAATTGAAAGATCAAATGACTTACCTGAAGGAAATTTGATCATAATTATACGAGGGTTCTGTCGAAATTATTACAAACCCTCCCGAATTCGTTGGTCAATTCTTGAGGTCTTTGGAACTTGAGACCACTCAAGATTTCGAATCTTCCCGCCCATATAGCGATCTAGTTGTATTCTCCTTTAAACAAGTGAAGTTGGACAGCCTACGGCTGCGGCGGTTGACGGTGGAGACAGGAAAACAGGGTTGCCGGTTTTACTCTTATTTTTAGGTATATTTCTTTGAACGTGGTATGAAAACGATATACTCAGGCATAACTACAGGTGTAATAATTTCGACAGAACCCTCGTATAATTATGATCAAATTTCCTTCAGGTAAGTCATTTGATCTTTCAATTTTGTATCAATATTATAAAATCTATCTTATCTCTTATCTATCAAACGATATTGATGTGACATCTGGGGTTTCACAGGGTTCACATTGTTCTCCACTATTATTCAACCTATTCATTAATGATATCGGCGACTGCTTCATATATAGTAAATATCTATTGTTTGCTGATGATTTAAAACTGTATGGACCTGTTAACTCATATATGGATGAAAAAAGTCTACAAGAAGACCTAAATATTAATTAATTGGTGTGATAAAAATAAACTATATCTAAATATTGAAAAATGTACTTTTATTAGCTTCTACAAAATAAAAAAGAAATATGAATCTTCTTATTACATTAAAGATAAAGAACTTTTATCTGTGTCATCAGTGAGGGACTTAGAAGTGGTTTTTGAACAAAATATGAGTTTTGTGGAACACATTAATAATGTAGCAATCAAGTCTTCGAAGATTTTGGGGTGCATTCTTAGAAACTGTAACATTTTCTCTGTCCATACAGTTAGGATGTTGTATATGTCGCTGGTAGTTTCTCACCTAGATTATGCCTCTATTGTCTGGTCACCATTCTATCAAGTACATAATTATACATTAGAACGCACTCAGAACAAATTCTTAAGATTTTGTGCATAAACTTAATACAACCATACATAACCATGATTACGCTTCAATACTTGATGATCTGAAATGCAGACTCTGAAAAATCGTAGATTAACCAACGACTTACGTTTCATCTTCAAATTAATAAATGGATTTATTGTGTGTCCGAAGTTGTTGGAGTTAATTAAATTCAATGTGCCAAACAGAACTTTGAGAAATACAAACCTCTTTCGAATAACTCACCATGCTACAAATTATGGACAACATTCACCCATTGAAAGAACATTGAAAATAATTAACGAAAACGATTTAGACATTCTTCATGGATCATTGAATAGCTTCAGAACACTTGTCAGATCTATATTTTGAAGGGTTTTGAAATTTCTGGTATATATAATATGTAGTGAATATTCATTTATTGGTTTTAAGCTCATTCTCTATGAATAAATGTATATTTATGTATATTTTTTTGTAATGGGGTTTCCCGTAAATAAATAAAATAAAAATAAAAATAAATAAATAAAATCTTGTTTATTAAAAATCCTTTTTTTCATCAATAATATGGACAAAAATACTCGTAGGAAAAACATTGTACCTCACTTCACCTTACCTTAAGCGTGCGTGATTCACCCTATCCTTGTGAAGTATGTCATTTTCCCGCAGTAGGGCGGGAAAAGTTTTCCCACACTAGTGCGGGAAAGTTTATCCCACACTATTTATTATTGTGTGGTAAAGACATTCATATAATATTCTCGCAAAATATGAGTGGTGGGTGACACAATATGGACATTTTAGGTTTTTTGTTGCAGTATTTATATTAAGTTTGTACAAAATCATTCATCGAATTGCACTATTTATTGTGAAAATGAAGAAATATTGAAAAATAATAATTGATTGTTATATAGCTTTCAATTGATCTGATTTGGGAAACAATCATTGTTGTCATGTCAATCAAAACACAAATTAGTTAGTGAAATTCTCAGAGTGAAAGACAGAGCGTTACTGTCATTTTCGATTCAGTGGAATTACAATGAAAAACTTCCAGCTATACAGATGCGATACAAATGAGTTATTGCCAACGAAGTCTTAAAAGAAAGGTATGAGAAGCACTACACGGGATTAATTCAATGTTGCAATAGTAAAGAAGTGAAAACACCAAATAAAGAACAAGTACCATGGGTATGCTGGCTTCCGCAATAAGCATACCTAGATAATGCTTCAAACGGTACACACAATAGATATATAACTAATTATCAGAAGATAGAGAATATATCACTATCGTTAGTTGTTCCTACTCACAGGAATGATTGATTGAACAAATCAATCAATTTCCTACGCTTGTAGAGAAAATATTGTTCCTAACTCATGCGGAGAGTGTCTTTCCCGCACTCGAACTGCTTGCCCAAACTCCGCTTCGCGTCTTTCGCGTGCGGGAAAGTATAACTTTCCGCACTTGTTAGGTAAATAACTATTTCCCGGTTCCCCCTGCGCCTTTTTTTAATATCCCAAAATCACCCACCTCTCGAGGTGTTTGACTTGTTCAGACCCGGATCCAGGCAGGTCGAACACTTTTCCGTCCGGGGAGATGATGGCGGCCTGTCCTCTCGCGTCCGGCAAACCGGAAGATTCGCCGGAGCCCTGGATCCATTGGATGCCGTTTTCCGGATACAGGAATTCGACGTACGATTGCTCTCCATCGGTCGCTATCACGACTTGATAGGTATTGACTTTGTCGGAACCTCTGTTATGGTATCCAACACCTGAAATTTTGTTTTTCTACAAGCGTGCGTGATTCACCCTATACCCGCACGCAATTTAGTTTGGGAAGTGTTCCCCACCATAGTGCCGGAAAAAACATTTATATAATAATCTCGCAAAATAAGAGTGGTGGGTGACACAATATGAGAATTTCAGGTTTTTTGTTGCAGTATTCAGTAAGTTTGTACAAAATCAACCATCAAATTGCACTATTCATTGTGAAAATGAAGAAATATAGAAAAATAATAATTGATTGTTATATAAATCCCCCTATAGCCTTCAATTGATCTAATGTGGGAAACAATAAAATTGTTGTCATGTCAATCAAAACACAAATTAGTTAGTGTAAATCTCAGAGTGACTGTCAGAGCGTAACTGTCATTTTCGATTCAGTGGAATTACCAACGAAGTCTTAAGAAATGTATCAGGAGCACAACACGGGATTTATTGAATGGTGCAATGGTTAAAAAGTGAAAACACCAAATAATGAAAAAGTATTTTTGGTTCATTTCCTAGAAATGTTGGAAACCTAGAGGCTAAACACGCATATGCTGGCTTCCGCAATGAGCTCACCTACATAATGCTTCAAACGGTACACACAATAGATATATCACTAATTATTAGAAGATAGAGAATATATCACTATTGTTAGTTGTTCCTATTTGCAGGAATAATAGACTGAACAAATCACTCAACTTCCTACGCTTGTAAAAAGAATATTGTTCCTAACTCATGCGGAAAGTGTCTTTCCCGCACTCGACTGCTTGCCCAAACTCCAAACTCCGCTTCGCGTCGTTCGGGTCAACGGCATTCCGTTGCGGGAAAGTATCACTTTCCGCACTTGTTAGGAAAAAACAACTTTTTTCAATGAGGGCTGACATTATTTCTTGTCCATCTGATCGCGCCACTTAAACATGAGGTCGAAATTCTTAGACCTGGGAGATCTACCAACCTTACGTGAGATATACTCCTTCTCTCGTTCCTTATCGGCCTACAAGATAGGTAGTCTTTGTAGACCTTGAACTTCAGAGTTTTTGAATTTGTCAGATATTTGATTAGGTATCTCAAATTTGGAACACATAGTAAAGTGTCTACAGTAAGTATTGCAGAATGGTATAGCAGAAAAAGCGGGATTTATAGATTGAGGCGCAAAACATTCGCCCAAGTGACTGATGTGCACCTTGTGGTGAATTTTCCTCCTGTATCCTCCATAATATTTTCTGTTGGGATTTTTGGGCTTCCCCCCTCGGATAATAAAATGAAACCCATCTTTGTTCATTTCATCAAGATTAAGATGTACTCAACTTAACTTAGTCCGTGGAGGTACCTGTACTAGAAAAAAATATGTTAATAGCGCTTCTTGATATTTTTGAATGGCCGAAGGCGCCAGTTTTTATAATAATGTAATGATATTCCCCTTTAGTGGGGCTCTAGAAACATCAGCAGGAAGACAGGAGTACAACGATCATCCTGTTACACGCATCCCATATTGTTTTTCAACCTCTCAATGATTCCTACATGCACCAGCATATTTCCGAACACTCAATATATGCCGCGGTGACAAATAACGTGTCAGAAGATTCTGGAATGTTCTGGAAACAATCGATGGAACAATTATAGAGGGTATTGTTCTAAGAAGCTTCTAGAACGAAGAGAAGGAGACGGAAGATCATTCGAGAACGTTCTCGAACCAAAGCCTACCAATGGATCTTATATATAAGACGGCCGAACAACTGCGGCTATATTCCGAATTCAACTGGTCAGTACTGTCAGTAGATCCACTGACTCTGCTGAAAATATGTGTACCAAAATATAAAATCAAAAATACAGGGCTGTAATTCGGAACACTTTTTCATGGTTTTCATCAGTAGTCAGCAGCAGTTGATCAGCTGGTGAAATTTGTCAGTATGTAGTTTCTCGTTTATCTGTACTAGATAATTTAGCCTCCTGCTTGACATATATTTTGGAAATATAATATTCAACATGGAAGAGCAATCGGTTCTTGTAGCCTTCATAGTTCGATTGTTGACGATGACGATTCAAGCTCGAGTGATGAAGACTTCTTGGACATTTATGTAATATGGTATCAATGATGAAGAATTTAGGAGACATTTCAGGTTTATTTAGATATGTATTTACCCAATGCTGGCTGCTTCTTTCGTTACCTGTTTTACTTCATACTCCTTATTATTCTCAGCGTTTATTATTTGGATAACGGGTATTTTCTGATATTGAAAATAATATAATTAACAACGGAAATAAATGTTACTTTCCTTCCCCCTTTAAAATTATGACAGTTTACTGAAGCCACACTACCTTTTGATACTCAGCAATTCCAGCAGAATGTTGAGTCGAAATATTTGGAATGAATAGTATATCTGCTCACAAGCATCCGTCACATTCAGTGATTTTTTTTATTTCGGAATCAAAAATCAGCAGATTCAGTACGGTCAGTTGAATTCGGAATATAGCCTGCGTCAGTCAAAGCAGCGAGTGTCAGAGAGACAGTCATATACCGCGTGGTATAAATCGTTTTAAATAAATAGTAGTTATAAGTTCGATATAAATTAGTGTTTCTTTAGTTTAAATAAATCAGTTCGAAAATAAATAGTGTCGTGTTCGCTTATGCACCCGAATAACGTAACAATAATTTAAAAGAATTTGATATTTACTACCCTATTTAGGTATATTATGTGTTTGATACCTAATATTATACTACCTGACATATCAAACATTTCAAAATGATTTTTCCATTCAAAGTACTGTTTTTGTTTCGTTTTGTGTCATTGGTTATGTGAGATTGATTGTAAAATTATTTTTTGTAGAAAACACACACTAAATAACGCCCACGTTATGATCATAATTTCAAATATTCGTTTTTTTTAGCCAACCTACAGTTGCTGTAGCTTGGAGGGGTGGCATTTTAGGACACATGTTAATGATAAGAAAACGTCTTATTTTGTTCAACACGTCCTTAAAATATCCACATTGAATTTAGAATTATCCTGTATGCCATGGAAACAAAACAGAGACGCTTGTTGACATCTCTGTGGGTTTCTCTAATCAAAATTGGTATATTCCGTAGAGGAAAAATACGATATAGTACGATTGTATAATGAACATAATCCGAAAATTCCTGTGGGGCAACAACATTTTAGTCGATAACGGCTTAAAGAAACATTAACAAACTATACCGGGTAATTCAAATTTGAGGACCATCATTGGGATCTCGGAAACTATAGGAGATACGAAGATAATTAAATTAGGACAAAGTTGCGCATTCATGTGAATAGAAATATGCCGTCGTGAAAATTTTTGAATTCCGAATATTTCTGGAGATTTTTTCTTCTGGCGTTATACCTCGAATAATATCGAAATTGATAGCTTATTTACATGGCTACTTTTTCCCTGCTAATAGATTACATTTTCAGATTCATCATCCGATGTTTCATCTTTACGCCACCATCATCAACTTTATTTCTTCTTATGGACGCCATCTTGGATTTTCATCAATAAACATATCATTTTTTCTTCTGATATCAACGATGTATAACACACACACACCTCACAACCTCGAATATTTGAAAAAAAAAATGTTTTTGTAGTTGACCTTGACTAAGTCAAATAACAGCATAATAATTGAAGAATGTCGGTCTATAAGAAGAGGGAATGTGATAAGGGCTGTGAAAAATTTAGGACGGAGAACATGTCTTAGTATTCAGGAAGAAGGCAGAAACTTTGAACAACGGTTCTTCGTTAATTTGTGAGTATGTCATTAAAATAAAGTTTAAAATATAATTTAAAAAAGTCTCCAAGTCGTCTCCACAACGTTTAATTTCAAATTCAAGAAAGGGGGACATGTTTCGGGCCCAAACGGTATCCATCATCAGCCAGAAAGGAATTATTATGGACAAGAAAAAGGCAAAAACATGGTTATAATTAGCATGGTAAAACGGTTACTTCGAATATTGGCATTCAATTATGAAACACCCTGTATGTTTAGTCTCTTGGATGCGCAACTTTGTCCTACTTTAACCATCCTCGTATCTCGTATGGTATATACAGTATGATGCAAATGTATGGAATAAATTCATTATTTCAGAAATGGGCGACATTTGAAAAAATTCCAAAAACACGTGAGTTTCAATTTCTGAAGCCTCATCTCATGATATTCATATGGGAGATGTTACGTCACCGGTGTTGGAGTAAAGACGTAATGGACGATTTTTTCAAATACAAATAGGGGTCATGTGACACCTTGATTGAAAGGTCTACCGATTGTCTATTCAACAGTCAAAATGTTGCATAAGAATATTGAAACGGTTCTTCGTTAATTTGTGAGTATGTCATTAAAATAAAGTTTAAAATATAATTTAAAAAAGTCTCCAAGTCGTCTCCACAACGTTTAATTTCAAATTCAAGAAAGGGGGACATGTTTCGGGCCCAAACGGTATCCATCATCAGCCAGAAAGGAATTATTATGGACAAGAAAAAGGCAAAAACATGGTTATAATTAGCATGGTAAAACGGTTACTTCGAATATTGGCATTCAATTATGAAACACCCTGTATGTTTAGTCTCTTGGATGCGCAACTTTGTCCTACTTTAACCATCCTCGTATCTCGTATGGTATATACAGTATGATGCAAATGTATGGAATAAATTCATTATTTCAGAAATGGGCGACATTTGAAAAAATTCCAAAAACACGTGAGTTTCAATTTCTGAAGCCTCATCTCATGATATTCATATGGGAGATGTTACGTCACCGGTGTTGGAGTAAAGACGTAATGGACGATTTTTTCAAATACAAATAGGGGTCATGTGACACCTTGATTGAAAGGTCTACCGATTGTCTATTCAACAGTCAAAATGTTGCATAAGAATATTGAAATTAAAATGGAGTATCATGTGATTAATTGAATCTTGCAGAGGTCTGCTACTGAGAATTGAACATCGAAGGGTCGTCTAGTTAAAAAAATACGACGAAAAAAAAGTTCTAAACTCTATTCTTTGGTTTTTTTTCGAAAGTCGTCTTGTTTTGAAATGAATTTATTCCATACATTTGCATCATACTGTTATAAGTGAACGGAAGAGAAATATCTTTCACTAGAGTTGAAAATATACAGGGTGTTTGATGTTTCACTGAGAAAAACTGATTTGAAGTCTTTTCCTTTTTGCGATTCACATTTGTTTGTTTAAGGAATGCCAAAAGATAGTACCTACAGAAGAAACCCTATAATCATATTTGGAGTGTTTTTCCACCTCGTATAGTTGAAGCTATAGATACAGGCGTTGAAATATGAGGAGACACTCTTTATATGCCCTATAAGCTCACCTTGCCATGTTACTATCAACAATGTAGTAGCTTGAAAATCGACGAAATTCAAAAAGGACTCGTGCACATTTTCCGTGGCCCTTTGGAGCAATGCTGGGCTGTCGGTTTGATAATACGAAATATTTCCTGCGGCTCGTATGTCGACGTTCGAGTAAAATGGCGCTATGAGAGGAAAATCCAAAGGAAACTCGATGTTGATGAACTCCGGGAATTCTTTTTGGAATGCTAAAAATCCATTTGTGTATACCTGAGAAAAAATAAGTTGATGAAGCAAATAGAAAAATAATCATCTTGAATAGTTCATTTAGTTGTGTATATATATGTTATTAGTAAATGATGGTAGTGTTACATGAAGAGAAAACAGAATATATCACTGTTAACTTGCGAGTACTCGTATGTTGGACTATTTAAATGCATGAAATTGATGAAATTAAATAATGTTTATTCATTAGTAAATGGATTGGATGGAAACACTGTAGTTTAATCAAGGAGGTGGAATATTCATTTCTCTTGATTTTTTTGGGACTTCTCTCCTTGTTTCTATTCGAGTATTATTTCAATATACGTTTCTTCGAACATTTTTTAAAAGATGGTTTCACTTACTATCTCTCCTAAATTTTTTTATAGTGAAACATTATTTAAACGTGGTGACATTTTGGGGCAACTTATTATCTGATATATCCTGTTATAAGTAACATCCTGTGGATGGGCTGGATTGCATGGATGACGGGGAGAGAGGAGATGTCAGGGTTGACAAGATTGATAGTTTTGGGTGGATCTTTGAATTGTAATTTGAGAATCGAAATATATATTGAACGCCCACAAACGTTTTACTGTTTATAACATATCAGAAGTGGTGAACAGAAGAAATTGCAAATTTTTCATAAGTACTTGGTGTTGGCGGAAAAATTTTGCGAAATGGAAAATATCGACGCAGGAACTGGAGAACCAGCGAATGTTAACATGAATATGTTGTTCCAATCTCAAATGTCCATGATGACCAAAATGTTAGAAATTATGGAAAATAACCGTATTGCTATGGAGAATACTAGAACAGCAAATGAAACACTTGTGCTGGAGGCAATTAATAAACGAATTGAACCTGAAAAATATCATATCATGCCAGATTTGAGTAAATCTATCGAATATTTTGATGGCGAATGTGACGGGAGTGCGAGAATTTGGTTGGAAAAACTAATGAGTACAGCAAAGTTACATTCTTGGCCGGAGGAATTCACTCTTGAGACTGCCAAGTCACATCTTACTGGAGCTGCAATTTGTTGGTATAATGCTCATATAGATATAATGGATACATGGGAAAAGTTTCAACTGAAATTCGAGAAAACTTTTTGTATCCAAATGAGTTTAACTGAGAGGTGGACCAAAATGCAAAGACGAGTCCAGAAATATGGCGAGTCTTTATCAGCATATTTTCATGAGAAATTTGCGCTATGCAAGAGTTTGAATTTAACACTGAAGGAAGCAAAAGAACAAATTTTGAGGGGTCTCTCCACTAAAGAAATTATTCAAGGATTGATGGCAAAAGATCATGTTGATTCAGATAGTTTGTTGCATGACATACTAGAATTTAATAGAATGGCCGAGAGTATTCAGAGATTTCAGAGAAGACAACCAACCAATGAAAGAAGATTTGACGATTCCATGAAGAACCGTGACTCTGAGAACACGAAAAGAAGCATAATTTGTTTTAATTGTGGAGAGAAAGATCACTTGCGACCTGATTGTCAGAATAAGAGAGTACGACTCTGTTACAATTGTAAAGACAAGAACCATACCATAAAGGATTGTCCAATCAATAAAGAATTGTCTACACGAGCCACTACAACTTCTTTGGAGGTGATTGACAATGAAGCTAAACGTGTGATGAACGTTTCCCATGATGAATTTCATGAAGAGAGAAGTGAAATGAAAAATGATGAGCATTCACTGCAGAAATTTTTGAAATTTGTGAAAATCAATGACATTGAAGTATATGGAATGATCGATCCTGGTAGCTCCATGTGCATTATTCGAGAAAGCTTTGTTAGGAAACAAGGTTGGCCGGTGCGCCTTGATGAAATTGATCTTTATGGCTTCGGTAGTGGTAAAGTACCAGTAAAAAGTATCGGAATCTTTCATGCCACAATAAGCCTTGATCTAGTGTTTGTAGATTCTATACCGATTTGTATTGTTAAAGATAATATTATGACTATAGACATTATAATTGGTCGATCTTTCACTGAACATTCCAGTATAATTTACTATCGTGTAGATAATAAATTAACTTTTGCTTGGCGTGAAGAATTCCCTTTTCAAAACTCAGAAATTCAGTTGACTTCATCAAGACACTATATCAGAACTAATGGTGATAATGTCATCAAACCCGGTACTGTGATGCTAATTGACTCTTTCGTGAATGAAAATGAGGTTCAAGTGCCTGTTTTCAACGCGTCATCTGAAGAAATCATTATTAAAAATGATAGTGTTATTGGACATTTTCGTGAACCTACTCACAAACCTGATGAACGAAATATGACATATGAGAAGATAAATCAGAACCATGTTAATGTTGATGAATCAATAACATCTGAAATGAAAGATATGTTGATAGATTTATTGAACAACTTCCGGGACTGTTTTTCATTCAGTTTATCGGAATTGGGATGTACACATTTGATGAAAATGGATATTCGTGATAATAATATTCCAGTTATTTCGAAGCCATACAGAGCAAGTTTGAAAGAACGTGAAACTATAGCAAGCATCGTAAGAGAATGGAAAAATGAAGGGATTGTGACTGAAACAAGCAGTCAATATGCAAGTCCTGTTTTATTGGTGATGAAAAAGACGGGGGAGCCTCGTTTAGTTGTTAATTATAGGAAGCTGAATAGGCAAACCGAGAAAGTTCCCTATCCAATACCAACTATTGAAGAACAATTCGAAAGATTGAGTGGATGTAAGATTTTCACTACACTCGATTTGGCTCACGGATATTTGCAGATTCCTTTGACAGAGGAATCGAAAGCAAAAACTGCCTTTATTACTCCTGACGAAACCGGTCAATTCGAGCGAATGATTTTTGGATTGACAAATGCTCCGTACGAATTCTGCAGATTGATGAATGTAGCTCTTGGACCACTTAGAAATAGCGTGTGTATGTGCTATATTGATGATTTACTGATTGGGGCAAAGGATTGGGAAGAAATGATTGGGAAATTGACACTGATTTTAGATGCATTAAGGAAAGCAAAATTGACCTTGAAATTGAAGAAGTGCATGTTTGGCTTAAAAAAAGTCGAATTTGTTGGATATACTGTATCGGCAACTGGTATAACACCAGGAAGTGCAAACATTGAGGCAATAAAGGCGTTCCCAAGACCAAGAAATGTACATGATATACGAAGATTTCTAGGGCTAACAGCATATTTTCGACGATTCATTCCTAATTATGCAATACGTGCCCGACCAATTAGTGATTTAACGAAGAAAAGTGCGAATTTCGAATGGACTGAATTACAAGAAAATACATTTGTGGATTTATGTAATACTTTATGTAATGAGCCGGTATTGAAGATGTATGATCCGAATGCATGTAAAACGGAACTACACACTGATGCTTCTGCCTTAGGTTTAGCAGGCATGCTCTTACAAGGCAGTACAGAAAATGACCTTCACCCTGTCTATTATGTTTCTAAAAAAACGACCGATGTTGAATCTAAATACCACTCTAGTAAATTGGAACTCATGGCAATAGTATGGTGCATTCAAAGATTACATAATTTCCTTATTGGATTGAAATTTACCGTTTTCACTGATTGTCAGGCAATTGTATTCCTTAATTCAACTAGAACCGAGAACCCGCAAATCTGTCGATGGTTGAGTTTTCTGCAAGAATATGATGTGGAAATCAAGCATAGACCTGGTACGAAGATGCAGCATATAGATGCTTTATCTCGAGCACCTGTTGCAGAATCAAATGACACATTAGAAGAAATTCATGAGAGACTTGAAGTATTGCAAACACTGGATGAAGCGGATTATGTGTTGATGATTCAATACAGCGATAAAAATCTCAAAGAGTTAATCGATATATTGAAGAGAGATGATGATAATATGTCATCGGAAGAAAAAAATAAAATTCAAAACTATATTTTGGACGGAGCTAGGCTATTCAAAAATGTTACAGTAAATGGAGAAAACAAACAACTTTATGTGATTCCCAAATCAATGAGAAAGAGTTTGGTGGTGAAACATCATGATTTACAAGGTCATTTTGGTGTAGATCGAACCATAAGCAAGATTAAGGAGAAATATTGGTTTCCTAGAATGAAGAGATATGTTCGGAGACATATAGCATCATGTGCGGAATGTTTATTGAATAAAGTTCCGGGAGGTAAAAAACCAGGAGAGTTACATCCCCTTGGTCCTCCAATGAGGCCATTCATTAGAATACATATAGACCATATTGGACCATTCATCAAGAGTGGAGATGGTAATATGTACATCTTGGTGATAATAGATGCATTGACCAAGTTTGTTAAGTTATATCCTGTGGAAAATACCCGCACAATTGTGAACCTCAGAGTATTGCAGTTATTCATAGATACATTTGGGGTTCCAGAACATTTAATAACGGACAGAGGGACTTGTTTTTCGTCTAGTGAATGGGCAGAATTTTGTAATAGCTTAGGAATCAAGCATTCAATGACTAGTACTAGGTGGCCACAAGCTAATGGGCAAGTGGAAAGAGTAATGCGTACGCTTTTACCAACAATTATGACAGCTATGGTGGATGAAGAATCATGGGATAAGAACATATCACGAACAGAGAGATTTTTGAATACAGCAATAAATAAGACAACCAATAAAACTCCTTTCGAAGCATTGTATGGATTTTTACCAGTGTTTGAAGATGGAAAATTGAGCCGAGCTGTCGATAGGAATGATGAGGAATGGAGGCCACCATCGGAAATTCAAAATGAAATTAGAGAGATAATAATAGAAAAGCAGAAAGAGTATAAAAATAAATACGACAAGAGAAGATTTCAAGGCGTGAAGTATGAAGTTGGTGACATTGTAATGTTAAGATGTAGCACTGTGAGTACTGGGGAGTCTACGAAAACTCAGAGGAGGTATAGAGGGCCCTTGATCATTGTAGAAGTTATGCCTTGTGATACATATCGAGTATCGACTATTGAAGGAGAAAATCGACGTTTTTATACAACTACCGCGAATGTTTCCCAGCTG